TCCTTTCGACTTTCCGGACCGGACAAATGTGAATGCACCGTTACCCTCTCACACATTATGTCAAACTGTCAAATCTATGGATTTAACAGTATGCTATGGATGGAATGATAGAGACAAAGAGAGAGTAAGGGGCCAAGATGTAAAGTGAAATGAAACTAGTCTCGCGTCACGTGACTTAGAGCATGTCCAGGCTTATCACATGCGATTTGCTATATCCATTACTTGGTATTAAGTGTTATTGCGTATTTTTACATGTAAAGTATACAGTAACTTATAAATGCTGTGTTACTACCAAAAAGAGTCCATTTTTAATTATAAATATACTTCTATAAATCAATGTCGCGCGATTTATATCCTGGGTCACGTAACTTAAGCCTGTATCAGACAATGCAATTTTGTTGCAGGGATTTGATTGCCGCGATAGAATTCATGAAATTTTTCTTATCAGACTATGCAATTCTGTCCCGGCAACTGAATTACATGATTTAGAACATGCTCTATTCCGTGCAACAAAATTGCAGGGATCCTAGTTATTTTTACGAAGGTTTGTTTATTACCAATAATCTAGCTGTTATTGGCTGATGTTGATCATGGTTGTTAACACCGTTGAAGCCACTATTAATGTTATACAGCAATTTACTTCATTCATCAATTTTTCATTTTCATCCATTGCAGTATTTTGCTTGAATAAAAAATAATTGTTTACAAGAAATTCGTGCAAGATACATACAAGAAATTTTACATGTTAAACAATGTACAGTTGGCAGTTGGTAACACTATACTGCAAACTAAATAAATTGCAGCAATTATGCCCCATTGTGTGATGATAATAAGCATGCCATTTTATCTCCGCAACAAAATCTCCGTAATTTTGTCGCTGCAACTAAATTGCATTGTCTGATACAGGCTTTTTAGAGCAAATCGCTACCGCTTTTGCAGTTTGCAGTAGTGATGGGCATAATAGTTCATTTCGGTGAACTAGTTCTCGAGAACTACTTGCTCCAAATGAACTAGTTCTTAAATCTAGTTCGCGAACTACTTTAGATATTCGACGACGTGCGCCGCGCCATTATTCTATGGCTAGAAATTGGCCTCAATGATTTGGGATCGAGGGGGATTATCCCTCTTTATCCTGCCTCATCTCGTGTAGGCCTGGACAGCCTTCGTAGGTGGGCCCCATCCGTCGTCTACCCCGACCGCAAATGCGGCCGGTGTAGGCGCTTTGTGGGACCTCCTTTTGTCCTGGCTGGGCCCCGCCGGCTAGGGCCCTTTCTTCTGGCGCTCTTCTTGCTTCGCCGGCTCGTCTGTGTAAACCCCGGGGGTAGTGTCATGTTTATGTGTGGTATGGTTGGGTAGGGTAGTGCGGCTATGCAGCCTGGGATGCGCTTTGCTAAGGTGGCCCTTAGGCTAGCGCGGGAGGGGAGGGGTAAGGAGGGTATGGGGGGTGTGTATGTGTGTGTGTGTGTGTCGTTGTCTTCGTTTCTTGATCCTGGCTGTCTCTGAAACAGAAAAGGTTAGCGGGCAGGGGGGGGGTCATTGGGGTGGTCACCCAGGGTCAAAAAGTTGGTGTCTAGGTCTTTTGTGTTTGTCGGTCACGTCGGGTACGTAGTCAACGGCTTGCCTGAGGAGGGGATTGTCATGTCTAGCGGCTACGTCAAATCGTTTCTCCGCGTTTTGTCTTATTGTCTGTGTAGCGTTTGTGTATTGTAAGTCTCGTAATATGTCAGTGTTTCTTACGTACCAGGGCGCGTCGGTGGCCGTGCGGAGGGCTATGTTTTCCACAGCCTGTAATGACTTTAAGTGGCTTTTTGCCGCGTGACCCCACGCCGTGGAGGCGTAGGTTAGCTGCGGTTGAAGTACCACCTTGATAAGCGTTCGCTTATTCCTTAAACTGAGGGTGTTTCCACCTTTGAGTAAGGGATAGAGCCTAGCCCTGGTGGTCTTCGCTCGCGCCACCGTCTCCACGATGTGCGGTTTCCACGTGAGACGCTGGTCCATCGTCACGCCCAGGTATCGTGTTTGTCGATTCCAGGAGATAGGTTCCTGGGATAGTGTCAGTCTGTCGAGGTTTTGTGGGATTTTTCGTTTGGTAAAAAGGATAGCCGAACTTTTGTTGGGATTAATTTTGACTTTCCACCTGTTGCACCAGGTTTCAAGTTGGTCTAAGGAGTTTTGGAGGAGGGAGACGGAATATCTAGGATCTACGGATTGGGATGTGATTGTCAGGTCGTCGGCGTATAAGTATATGTTGGTGTTGGGGGGATGTGGGATGTCGGAGTTGTAAATGGTGTATAGGTGTGGGGACAGGACGGTGCCCTGGGGGACACCGGCCTCCATGGGACGGGTGGTGGAAAGGGAATCTTGGATTTGGATGCGGAATTTTCGGTGGTGTAGGTAGGATTTTATGAGTTTGGTAAAGGATATGGGATATTGGTTGGTGAGCATTTTCATCAGTAGGCCTTCATGCCAAACCGTATCGAAGGCCTTTGCGACGTCCAGGAAGACAGCACCAGTGTACTGTCCCCTGTTGAAGGCCGCCGTGATGTGCTCGGTAAGGCGAAGGATTTGGAGTTCAGTGGAGTGATTGGGTCGGAAGGCGAACTGCTCGTCTGGAATGACTTGCAGTTCTTGGGAGTGGGTTCTTAGACGGGTTAGGATAATTTTTTCTACCACTTTGCTCATAGCCGGGAGCAGGCTAATGGGCCGGTAGTTGGATGGGATGGTGTGATCTTTGTTGGGTTTTGGGATAAGGATTATGTTTGCTGTTTTCCAGCGGGTAGGGAAGTGTCTTAGTCTGAGTGTCGCGTTTGTTATGTTTAGTAGGGCCATGAGGCCCTTGTGTGGTAGTCGTTTAAGTGTCGTGTTATGTATATTGTCGGGTCCGGGGGCTTTTCTGTTTTTAAGTCTGCGTATTGTCAGTCTTAGTTCGTCAGGTGTTGCGGGGGGGATTATGTCATTGTCTGGCTCTCTGTCGACGCGTCGGGCCGCGCGCTCAGCCACTATCTCGAATTCCTCGTCTTCGTCGGGCAGCTGAGGCAGTCTACACTGCAGTTCCAGGCTATCGGCGAAAGCCTCGGCCTTTTCCTGGTTCGTGTAAACCACCCCCACACTACCGTGGATTGGAGGAATTTTACGGCGAGCGGTCTGTCGCAGGGCCCTCTGCGTTTTCCAGAGGCTGTTGTCTTGTGGATCCAGCGACTCCAGGTGCCTAGCCCAGTTATCCTGGGCCAGTTCATCCAGAGCCGCCTTCACCCGTCTGTTAAGTACGTTTAAGTCATGTCTGTGTCGGGGGAGGCGGGGGCGGGTGGCAAGCCGTTTCGCACGTCGTCTGTCACGTATTAAGTTTTTTATGTCATCGGGGAGGGTGCCCCGGGGGTTTGTCAGTCGGGGGACAATAGTCTCCGTCGTAGTCTGAGTCAGGGCGTTTTTAATGTCAGTCTCAAGGGAGAGGATTGCCGCCTCCAGATCATGGGTGGTTTCGATGACTGGGAGCGCCATGTTTCCTTGCATTACTGTTCGGAAACGCTCCCAGTCAGTGAACCTCCTCGTGAAGGTGCCTTCATATCTCTGTCTTCGCCCCAGATCCAGAAATATTGGATTGTGGGCGGAAGACCCTTCGTATTGGGTGGATATTTGGGCATTTAACGGTATAGATTTTAAGAGGGCAATGTCGATAACGTCGGGGCGTCCTACGGGTCCGTAATGTGTCGGTTCTGTCGGTCCGAGTATAGTCAAGTCGTCGTGTCTGTCTTGGTAATTCAGCAGGACGCGACCTCTTGTGGTCGTCGTCCCGCTGTGCCATATGGGGGACTTCGCGTTGAAGTCCCCGATGGCAATTGTCTGGGGCCAGGAAAGGATTTTGTCTAAGTCATTGTCAAGTAGTGGTAGTCTGGGTGGGTGGTAACAGGACACCACCGCAACGTCTCCATGCCGTAGCGATCTCACCGCTATCGCCACGGCCTCTGTGTTTTGAGTTTGGAGCCGCTGCAGCGGATAGTGGTCGATGCACTGCTTTACTATGAGTGCAACACCACCCCCGTTACGGTTTCTGTCATGTCTGTATATGTCATAGTCAGGGATGGAGGTACGGGATGCCTCGCTGAGGTAGGTCTCCTGGACAGCCATAACGTCTATGTTTAGACGATTCAAGACGTCCACGAGTTCCATTTTTTTGGCTCGGAACCCGTCAAGATTCCGGGACGAAATTCTCAGCGAAGAGGGTTGGGAAGGCCGACGAGCCATTAGTAGTCGAATAATTTTTGCATATTCGACACCATGGTCGTCAGCTGGACGCAGAAGTCCTGAAGACGCTTTGTTGCGTCAATCAGGGCCGCAGCGCCCGGTAGAGAGGTCGTCGTGTCTGTGTGTGCGTGTGGTGAAGTGTTGTGTTTTTGTTTTTGTGTGTTTTGTGTTTTTCTGGTCAAGTCAGCGTATGTGAGTCCCGGGGTTGTGTTTGGGGTGGGTAGGAGGGGTTGTCTGTGTGTTTGTATAGTGTTTTGTGTCGTATGTGTGTTTGTGTTTAGTGTTTTTGTGGTTTTAGCTTTGGGGTACTGAGGGCACCCCATATAGCTGTCGGAGTGTGGCCCGGCGAAATTTGCACACCTAGTGGGCGTGTCTTTGGACTTTTTGTAGACACTACCATACCCAACCATACCACACATAAACATGACACCACCCCCGGGGTTTACACAGACGAGCCGGCGAAGAAAGAAGAGCGCCAGAAGAAAGGGCCCTAGCCGGCGGGGCCCAGCCAGGACAAAAGGAGGTCCCACAAAGCGCCTACACCGGTCACATTTGCGGTCGGGGTAGATGACGGATGGGGCCCACCTACGAAGGCTGTCCAGGCCTACACGAGATGAGGCAGGATAAAGAGGGATAAAATATGTGCAAACGGCCGTGTAGGTTCACGTGATAGTTCAATAGCGAGCTAAGCAATTCCAATTTTTTAAAACGAAAGCAACTAATAAGATCAGCTCAGCTGATGTTTGACATATCTTTGTGACAGTTTATAGAAGAGGTTACCTAAATTTGTGGTCATTTTCTCCTATACTAATGTTTTGATAACAAATGTTACAACTAATAGATTAAAGAACAGTTAGGCAATGGATAATTATGAAGACGAAATTAGTAGTACAGACGAAGAAAGTTTTTTGGTCAATAATGGATCATCGTCGAAAAAGAAATCAGAAGATATAAAGAATGATGAGGATATTGAAGATAATAGAAGTGAATTAAAATTTGATAGAGGTACATATGTTATTTTCTTATATTTAGAAAAAATATATCATTGATTTTCAGAACTAGAATCTGAAGAGGAAGTAGAGAAAAGAAAATTAATTGAGGAAGCTTTAGAGAATGAATGTACAAACGTTACAACTTGGCAAACCTTAGCTGTCAGTACATATGGCTTAGTTGCTGGTAAGATGCTATTCTTTTGTAGAATTGAAATGTATTTTGTGGATTATGAGGGATGCTTTTATATGGGCAGTGACGGCTGGAAAATTTGGATTGGTCATATTTTGCTAATGAAGCGTGACTCAAACTGATTTTTAGGAGATGTTTTAAGAATGATTTTAGGGCCCACATAGGCAACTTTAATGATGAAAAAAAAAAATTTTAGAAAAAAAATAATTTAAAGTTGTCTGACTGAGATTTTTAAAAGGGTTGTAAATATGTGCAAAATATATATTTTTTCATACATTCATAAATTGATAGATAACTTCATACTTATTTTTACTTTTCATTATAGTTATACCTATTTATTTTTATTTTTGATATTAAGATTGGATTTCTTTAACTTTATATAATGGAGGAAAACGGAAGAATTTAAGAAAAATGAAAATTTCAAAATATTAGGGTAGGTCACATTATGACATACTTCATTATAAAAAATAAATATCATTTTATTTTTCAACAATTGCCTCTGTTTACTACTGGTTTTCAACTCGAGTTAATTTCTTCAAATAATATGTATTTTTATACCTAGGCCTACTTTGCAAGTCTGCATAAGGTTTAATTTTCTCCTCAATTTGTTAAAACAAATTAATATTAAATATTTCGAGACTATTCTACTATTCAACAAGTTATAATAGTTACTTAATCATTTATAGTTCGCGCCAAAAGCCCATGAAGCAATTTATAATTTTTTTTTAGATGATTTACGCTGCAAAGTGTGGCCTTTACTTCTGGAAGTTGATCCATGTCTAGATGAAAAAATACCTTCCTTAGAGGAATTATCTACTCACAGTGAATATCAGCAAGTTGTTCTAGATGTAAATAGGTCTCTAAAGAGATTTCCCCCAGGTAAATGATATATTTACATAATTGTCTACTTACATATACAGGATGTCGGAAGCGAATGAGCCATATTTAAATGGTAGCTTTCCTTAAATTAAAATACACAGACTTAGATCAATCTTGTTATTTTTAAAAATATTTTTGTGAAATTTGGTATATTCAGGCATATAGATTATTAAAAACACTTAGGACTTAGGTATTTTGAGTATGAGAGCTGTTAGTGCCTACTGACAGAGAGCGACCTACTATTCTGTAGGTACTGTGATAGCAAAACTAGTGTTATAGTAGGCGAAATAATTTTTTTTACGTGATATGTGGGAAACCAATACTCTGCAAAATATGAAATATGTTTATTAGATATTTCATTTCAGTTAAGATCATTCATCAGTATATAAATAACATGGACTGCCCTATTAGATATGTGAAATAAGTTTATTTTTGTTTAATTGTTCAATTTTATTGTTTGACAAATTGTAGGTAGGTAATGTTCCTTAATATTTTAAAGATTTTTGTTTTTTTATTCAATATAAATTTGTTTTATGTAGTATTTATTTATTTAAATACTTTTTCAATTATCCAAAACAGTTTTTGACAAATTGAATTCTTAAATCGTTTGACCTGGAAAAATTAAAATTTTGCTTGTGGCGAATTCTCTACTTTTCGGCCACCCATACACTCAAGCACGTTTTTCTAAATTTGGTAACCCTACCCTGGAATTATTTTAGTGACAGTCAACATGTATATTTTTTTTTTATAGCAAACAAATTAAAATTTCATAAAACATTTTTTTCTGATAATCCATATCAACAGAAAAATATAGCAAAAAACAAAAGATTGTTTCAGGTATACTTTGCAATCTTTATGTTATAGGTAAGAAGCAAGCCTATTTTTGTACTTAATTTCTCTATAAAACCCTTGCTCTAACTTTAATTATTAAAATATCTTGAACAGTGAACGAGTTATTTTAAAAAATTCGTTAAAAAAATTTATTTTGAAGAGCCACAATTATCCACTAAGGAAGCAAAAAATAACTTAATCTAAAACATGCTAGTATATATTTTTTATAGCAAATAAATTAAGATTTCATGTTCAAAATGTGTCTTTCTGAAAATATATATCAACAAAAAATATAAGAAAAAACAAGACTGTATCAGTTATTCTCTGCAATCTTCATGTTATAGATAAGAAGTAAACTTATTTTCATATTTAATTTCTCTAATAACCCCTTGCACCAAATTATATTAAAAGATCTAACCAGTGACAAGTTATTGTAAAAAATGCATAAAAAATTTTTTTTTGACCCATAACTATGAACTGTACTAGCATAACTTTCATTCAGGGATCATTTCCATTCAGGAAAGCATCCCTTGAAGCATGGCTCCATCATTTCCATGGCTCAAAATTTTATGAATTTTAATAAATAATAATTTGTTTGATTTGAATACAGTAAAATCCGAAAACTTCTGTAATTATAAAAAAACCTTGGAAGAAAACAATAAAAAAAACAGCTTTAAAAAATCTATATTTTTATGTAGAAAATTTGTCAGAATATCTTAGAAATATTATAATATATATTTGTAAGCTAATTCAAATACATTCAAAACAAATCTAGGTATAGATACCAAAAATCTAGGTATTTAGAATATACAGTGTGTCCATTATAGGGATGGGATAGCATTAGGATCTAATAAACAGTAAGAGATACGGGGCGGCTCAAATTAGAAAAAAGTTGTGTTTTTATACCTAACAATATGCCCTTTAGAAAGTTTTTTAAAATTCTGGGTGGTTCCGGAGATATCCGAAAAAGCCTGAAATTTTGCAAAATAGTTTTTTTTTCTGGCTTTATTTGAAAACGAATTTTATTTACACTGCCATTTTTTTTCGCTCTATCCAATGGCATCAACATTTGTGCAATCCGACGTTTCGTCTTCGAGGGGCCATCATCAGATTAATTTTTTTAGATATGTCGCTGCTATTTTTATGACAAAATCTAAAGTCATTTTTAATTCTGAATTAGACATACTGTATATAACCTCATAGACAAGATTCTTGACTGACGATATTGCGGACAATCTAGCCCTTAGAGGAGTTTCTCATATATTATTAGTTAAGAATCTTATCTATGAAGTTAGGTAAATTTTATATAGGTACCTATAATTTAGCTATCTAATAAAATCTCTTGATTTAATTTAATAGGATTTTTCTTTAGTTTATTTTTATTTCAATTAACTCGTTCACTGCCAGTGGACACTTATAACCGTTTTTTTCAAGAAGCAAAAATTAAATTTGCACTTAATTTTAAATAATTACAGAACACTAGTTCAAGATGTAACATAAATGTGACTTTGGAATCTAGGTGGCATGAGGGTGAAATGCATCGGCAGTGAATGTGTTAACTTAATGTCTTTAAAATAAAGTGAACATTAATTTTTTTAATCAATTTCTAGTTTAACTAGACTTACAATTAGTTTAATATAATTCTAAATAAGTTTGTACATTTTAATTGTTATAAACAGAATTTTTTTCAATTATGAATTCATTGGTGTAATCATTATGTATGATTTATAATACCATTAAGATTTTATACGAGAAATAATTAAACTTTCTTTTTTGTTTCCTCGTTAATTTAATTTAAAATCATTGGATTTGTGTTAAATAAATCTCTTCATTAAAGTTAATAATCTTAAGTGTTTAGTGTTAAGATTAACAATAATACCATCACACAGCACTTCACTGCCTTTCTTTACATTTAAAGTATTCTTAAAATATACTGTATTCAGTATATTCTTAATTTGCTCTATGCACTTACTGCTATTCATTGATTTAATGCCGTTTTTTCTCTGGAGACACTTTCAAAATATGGTATAAATCAGTTTTACATTTACCAATTTTAAACTCAATACTTAAATTTCTAATACAAACGTTGTGGTATTTTCTTCCATAAATTGGCCAAGAAATTAAGTGGTGGAAATAGAATCGAGTCTAATTTATTTACTGCTGGGGATTGTATTGGTTTCAAAAACTTATTTCATTTTAGTTATTTTAAATATTTAAAAAATAGGTTACATTTTTTGTGCCCCACCATTGGGATCTCCGTTGTCTCAAGAGATAGAAATTCATTGAAATTATGGTAAAGCAGTTGAAATCGTTGACGTGACATATATAATGCCAAAGACAATTGTTATAGGTCTAGTTCTANAAATTGATAGCTAATGTTAAGAAAATATTTTTGAAAGCACCAGCCCGGATAAATTTGTTCAGAGAAACTCTTCCAGGCGTACCACTACCTCCAGAACCTGTTTTGACACGTTGGGGTACGTGGTTAGACGCAACATCTTATTATTACGTACACTTTGACGACATAAAAAGTGTTATACAGCAATTGGATTCAAGTGATGCTACAGAAGTAGCACATGAAATAGAAATTTTATGTGCTCAAAGGATATTTAACGATCCTACACTTCAAGAAGATTTAGCATACATACATTTTAATTATTCACGAATACCGTCAGTTATACGCCGTCTTGAAGTAACTGTGACATCATCAGAATATTCAGTAAATAATGCAGTAAATAAAGTTTTAGACTTGCGACAGTTTATTTCCCAGTTGTCAGGACATAGTGCTGAACGTGTGAAGAAAAAAATTGATACCGTTTTGCAGAACAATCCGGGATTTCTAACTGTATGTCGCATAGTAGATCTTTTTGAAGGTAAACAAGTAGATTTTTCTTAATCCACCCTAAATATGCCATCCGTTAAAAATTATATATACTTTAAATATGCCCCAGTAATATCTGTGGATGTTGAACGTACGTTTTCGAAACTTAAATGGATTTTTAGCGATAAACACCACAACCTAACGCCTGAGCATTTACAGTAGTTGCTGGTTATTCAGTTTTACTTCAGCACTGCAAGTGAATAGGTGTAGAGCTCAGTGTAGAGTGTTTTGTAAACTAATAAACTTAATATGAATCATAGTGGATATTATAAATCGTCAGTACAAGGTAAGNATCCAATGGCATCAACATTTGTGCAATCCGACGTTTCGTCTTCGAGGGGCCATCATCAGATTAATTTTTTTAGATATGTCGCTGCTATTTTTATGACAAAATCTAAAGTCATTTTTAATTCTGAATTAGATGATATTACTATTGTAATTGCTTAAAAAAATTTTTTGCTTAGCTATCATTTAAAATTTTTCCTGAGTACGACTGAATGCTTTCAAAATATTTATTGGAGGAAGTCATAATAGTATAAAAGTCAATACAGTACGAAATATTCAACAATTTTTTTTAATCAATAATGTCGGATTGCAAAAATGTTGACGCCATTGGCTAGAGCGAAAAAAGTGGCAATGCCATTTATTTTAAAATTCGTTTTCAAATAAAGTAAAAAAAAAAACGATTTTGAAAAATTTTGGGATATCTCCGGAACTACTCAGAATTTTAAAACTTTCTAAATGGTATTGTATATATTGTTAGGTATAAAAAACACAACTTTTTTCTAATTTGAACCACCCTGTATTTCTTACCGTTTCCTAGATCCTAATACTATCCCATCCTTATCGTGGACATACTGTATATAACCTCATAGACAAGATTCTTGACTGACGATATTGCGGACAATCTAGCCCTTAGAGGAGTTTCTCATATATTATTAGTAGAGACCGCACTTCGTTCGCACATCTCAGGTCCGTACTTCAGCCGACGATCTCAATATTTAAATATTCATCCATTCTTCACAAAATAATAATAGTGCCGGCTAATCGACAAAAGCACCATGTTTATTTACCCCGCACGTGTCAAGGTCACGGTAGTCGGTCGACGGACGGGGGGAACGGATTTCATTCCTATTAGACGGGGCCGTTCAAGTCATGCATCAATCATCAACATCATATCAAGTGCATGCTAATCATACGTAAGGAAACGTCGCGTCTTGTCCAGTAACAGTACGGTGAATATGCATATTTTTAATTATATGTGTCAGTTTTTATTGTCTTTGTAAAAATGTCGCGTCGGCTTCTCGCTCGCTCTACGGTCGAAAACTAGATAAAAAATTACCCCGATTTAGAATTCGACGGAGCAGAACTAAGGTGCAAAATTTGTGAATGCGTTATATCGTGGAATTATAAAACACGAATTGCGGAACACATAAACTCAGAAAAACACAAAGCTCGCGAAAGTAACAGTATGACCACCAGTGAACGTCAAAAACAATTNCTAAAACATGCTAGTATATATTTTTTATAGCAAATAAATTAAGATTTCATGTTCAAAATGTGTCTTTCTGAAAATATATATCAACAAAAAATATAAGAAAAAACAAGACTGTATCAGTTATTCTCTGCAATCTTCATGTTATAGATAAGAAGTAAACTTATTTTCATATTTAATTTCTCTAATAACCCCTTGCACCAAATTATATTAAAAGATCTAACCAGTGACAAGTTATTGTAAAAAATGCATAAAAATTTTTTTTTTGACCCATAACTATGAACTGTACTAGCATAACTTAATCTAAATTGGATCATTTCCATTCAGGAAAGCATCCCTTGAAGCATGGCTCCATCATTTCCATGGCTCAAAATTTTATGAATTTTAATAAATAATAATTTGTTTGATTTGAATACAGTAAAATCCGAAAACTTCTGTAATTATAAAAAAACCTTGGAAGAAAACAATAAAAAAAACAGCTTTAAAAAATCTATATTTTTATGTAGAAAATTTGTCAGAATATCTTAGAAATATTATAATATATATTTGTAAGCTAATTCAAATACATTCAAAACAAATCTAGGTATAGATACCAAAAATTTAGGTATGTAGAATATACAGTGTGTCCAGTATAGGGATGGGATAGCATTAGGATCTAATAAACAGTAAGAGATACGGGGCGGCTCAAATTAGAAAAAAGTTGTGTTTTTATACCTAACAATATGCCCTTTAGAAAGTTTTTTAAAATTCTGGGTGGTTCCGGAGATATCCGAAAAAGCCTGAAATTTTGCAAAATAGTTTTTTTTTCTGGCTTTATTTGAAAACGAATTTTATTTACACTGCCATTTTTTTTCGCTCTATCCAATGGCATCAACATTTGTGCAATCCGACGTTTCGTCTTCGAGGGGCCATCATCAGATTAATTTTTTTAGATATGTCGCTGCTATTTTTATGACAAAATCTAAAGTCATTTTTAATTCTGAATTAGACATACTGTATATAACCTCATAGACAAGATTCTTGACTGACGATATTGCGGACAATCTAGCCCTTAGAGGAGTTTCTCATATATTATTAGTTAAGAATCTTATCTATGAAGTTAGGTAAATTTTATATAGGTACCTATAATTTAGCTATCTAATAAAATCTCTTGATTTAATTTAATAGGATTTTTCTTTAGTTTATTTTTATTTCAATTAACTCGTTCACTGCCAGTGGACACTTATAACCGTTTTTTTCAAGAAGCAAAAATTAAATTTGCACTTAATTTTAAATAATTACAGAACACTAGTTCAAGATGTTACATAAATGTGACTTTGGAATCTAGGTGGCATGAGGGTGAAATGCATCGGCAGTGAATGTGTTAACTTAATGTCTTTAAAATAAAGTGAACATTAATTTTTTTAATCAATTTCTAGTTTAACTAGACTTACAATTAGTTTAATATAATTCTAAATAAGTTTGTACATTTTAATTGTTATAAACAGAATTTTTTTCAATTATGAATTCATTGGTGTAATCATTATGTATGATTTATAATACCATTAAGATTTTATACGAGAAATAATTAAACTTTCTTTTTTGTTTCCTCGTTAATTTAATTTAAAATCATTGGATTTGTGTTAAATAAATCTCTTCATTAAAGTTAATAATCTTAAGTGTTTAGTGTTAAGATTAACAATAATACCATCACACAGCACTTCACTGCCTTTCTTTACATTTAAAGTATTCTTAAAATATACTGTATTCAGTATATTCTTAATTTGCTCTATGCACTTACTGCTATTCATTGATTTAATGCCGTTTTTTCTCTGGAGACACTTTCAAAATATGGTATAAATCAGTTTTACATTTACCAATTTTAAACTCAATACTTAAATTTCTAATACAAACGTTGTGGTATTTTCTTCCATAAATTGGCCAAGAAATTAAGTGGTGGAAATAGAATCGAGTCTAATTTATTTACTGCTGGGGATTGTATTGGTTTCAAAAACTTATTTCATTTTAGTTATTTTAAATATTTAAAAAATAGGTTACATTTTTTGTGCCCCACCATTGGGATCTCCGTTGTCTCAAGAGATAGAAATTCATTGAAATTATGGTAAAGCAGTTGAAATCGTTGACGTGACATATATAATGCCAAAGACAATTGTTATAGGTCTAGTTCTATACAATACACATTTGTCTCTTTTTTTAAATATTGGACAATTTTTTTATCTATGCCAAAACGTAGTAAAGCAAAAAGTGCTGCACAATTTTTCAATTAAAAAAAAATCCTGATTTTTCTTTAATGCTGTAGACCATCATTTTCAGCTATATTCAATACATTAATCTGAGAATAGTATTACTATACGGGCAGCTTAAGTTTAGATGGATCAGAAATCAAAGACTGTATAAATGCCGTTTGACAATATTGAGCAAAGCAAAGATGTCCTGCAGATCCTCAGAACTCTGTTCGTTGTACATAGCTCATTGAGTTTGGTATATTAGATGTAGATTGGTAGATTAGATTAGATTTTAGTTTTCCTTATTTTGTTCAGAAAAGCCCAAAAATTACTGGGACTAATTTTTATGAGTGATAGGTATTTTCATTTTCTGTGAGCAATATCAACATCTCTCTTTATTTTAATGTGCAAATATTTGAACTGATTTAAATAACTTATGTCACCAATACATTCTTATAATTACCAAAAATAAAGATTTGCATTTAATATCCTTTATCCTTTATAATGTGTTTGTTAAACCAATATATGATATACTTTTTGGTATTCTTTTGGGAACAGGTCGTGTGAATGCTGAGATTAATTTTTCATAAAACTGAGTACAGGCCTGATTAATGTTGTTATTAATAATTTAGGTTAATCAGTCTATATTACAAATATTTCGATAAAAGAGTTGAAATTAGCTTTTCTTGAAGTTGAAATAAGGATTTATTTATTTATTTCAATAATGATATAAATATGATATATGTAATATTCTGTATTAAATTTTCTTTATACATTCTAGGCATTCCATATAAACAACGTGTTGCTTTGCAAGATCAGCTTACTGTTCTTATTTTAAGAGTAATTATGAAGTACCCAAATTTAAGATATTATCAGGTTGGTATTGATTAACTTTTATACACATTAAATGTTGTTACAAAATTTAGAGACGTAACTGTTCTCAGCAATCATATTTTACAATTAGTACTGACATGGGTTCAGAATTGAATTTTTTAGGGATATCATGATGTAGCTGTAACTTTTTTATTAGTTGTTGGAGAAGTGATAGCCTTTAGGATAATGGAAAAATTAAGCACTTACCATTTACGAGAGTGCATGGAACCAACAATGGAAAAAACCTCTTATAGACTTAATTATATGTATGCCCTCTTGTACAAAGTTGATACTGAGTTGCATAACTTTATGGAAAGGTAAGCATTATTTGTTTTTAAAAGTAGGTCCGCCCTGCATGTCAATAATGGTAAATTAATTTTTTGGCTTAGTCTGTTCAGAAAATAACCAAACTTTATTTTTTTAAAGTTTATTATTAGTTTTATACATTATTGGTCCTCGTCTCCTTCAAATTACTTCCCGTCTCTATTCACAGACTTTTCTCATCGGTGTTTCCATTTCACGAAACAGTCCTGGATAGCTTAATTTGAAACGGCCTTTAAAGTCTGTGATGAATTTGCTTTGATGTCATCAATAGTCTGAAAACGTCGTCCTTTCAGCACTGATTTTAATTTGGATAATAAGAAAAAATCTGGCTAGTAAAAAGGGTAAGGGAGGACAGTAATATGATTTTTGGCACAAAACTGACGAATTAACAAAGCTGAGTGTGCGGGCGCATTGTGATAGTGCAGGGGTCGGAAAACTTTTAAGTCGGAAGAGCCATCTGCAATAAAAATATCAATTTCATGAATTTCAAAGAGCCACGAAATTTTATTTCTGTTACATTTTATTTCAAATCTGAATCGGATACGGAAGTCTATACGCGTCTTTATGCGTACTCGTGTGCTGCGTGTCTGTCCGCTTTAACTTTTAATTTTTAGGGGAATTTGAAGAGCCGCAATTGTCTCTTGAAAGAGCCGCGGTTTGCCGACCCCTGTGATAGTGCAAGAACCATGAGTTATCTCGTCACAACTCTCTTCTCTTTTTTGTGGATTTTCAAGGAGTTGCCGACAAATGTCCACAAGATTTTCTTTCCATTATTTCTGTCATCAAACTAATATAATGATAAATTTTACTGCTACTACTTTTACTCGATTCATGTTCAATTGTTTAGTCAAAATATGGTGTGACTATTGAGATGCTAACCTCTTCTGCTACTACTAGTCTAACGACTACTTTTAAATCATGAAAACCATTCGTAACATTGCGTACGACCCACAGAATCATCTCTGTAAGCTTGTTTCAAAAGTTGAACCGTTTCTGTGAAAATTTTCCCCAGTATCATGCAAAATTTTACGTTGCATCGTGGTTCCAGAAATTTGCACATTTCAAAAATCATCATGAACACTTAAGGATGGAAACTGATGCAACCCTGGTTGCCTATATTATACCGAAAAGTAGTAGAAAACAGCCCTTTTTTTTATTCCAATATATATTTAAAGCAATGGAAGAAAGTAGTAAAATTTCATCACATTTGGCAAAGTATAAACGAAGACAATAAAGCAAAAATTAATTGGGATAGATAAATAATTCGTGATATATTAATTTCTAAATATAAAGATTTTTTGGACTTTTGCAAACAAACGATTATTTTTTCATAGTATTATAGAATTATGCAATTTTTTATATACTTGTCTTTTATTAAATAAACTGATTAGACTTTATTTCATAGTTTGTTCAACACTTTATTATTTAAAAAGATATTGGAATAAAATTATTAAAAAATAATCATTCATAAATCACATTATGTCTGACCTATTCGCTTAATTTGTAATATATGTCGCACTAGTAAAAATTAATTTTTGAATTGACTCGGGTTATTTTTAACGAACAGCTGTTGTATTGTGGTCAATTTGGTATAAATTGATTCTGAATTGGTAGTTATGGTTTCTGTTAATTAATAAGTAAATATTCAAAGAATGTCATGATCATTTTAGGTATATTATTGTATAAAAGTATATAACTAACTGCAAATCCATACTATTTTATAATTTTAGGAAATATGAAATATAAACAATTTTCAGTTTATTTAAAACAATAATTTGTAATATACCTATACATATTAGTATGTCTATGGTTAAAGCGGATAAGAGGGAAAACATTTTTATTTTCTATTCTACTAGAAAAAGTAATTCGTGACAAAAAATATTTCGCTTTTTAATCGAATATAGTTGTCATGAAGAACTTTAATTTTATATACACAGGGTGATCAGAAATTTAACAACATTAATAATGGTGAAGAATAAACTGCTTTTATTTTTGATAATATAAAAAAATGTTAATAAAAAAAGTTGTTCATAACGGAAAGTTATGTTGTAATTACGATTTGTGAATAAAGCGGCTTACTTTGGTATAAACAGAAATGAAAAAAAAAAATATATTTTTAATAATTAATATTAAGTAATTCTTGATAAAAAAAATTCGCGTGTTGTTAATATACAGGGTGTCCCGTAAAGTATGTTACAAACTTTGGGTGGTGATAGTACATAAAAAAATATGACTAAAAACTCTAATAAACATAACCTCTTAAACGCACCATTTTGAAGTTACAGACCTTCAAAGGTGCAACTATAAAAGTAGTTTTTAAGACGTAACTCTTTGTTGGAAAAAGAAAACTTAATGAAATTTTCAGGNGGTAGTTATGGTTTCTGTTAATTAATAAGTAAATATTCAAAGAATGTCATGATCATTTTAGGTATATATTGTTTTCACCACTATAGGTATATTACGAAATAACATATAGACTTCTTCCGGTTATATTTAACTGTCTCTGTACCTGAAAGTAAGAAAAGAATTTTATCAGATAATATTTGTTATAAACATAGATGATTATACAATTTTACCTATTATGCTTTTGATTTACCATAATGTCCTAATCTAGTCATATATAGGGTGCCACAATAGTGCGATAATGTTTAGTAACTGCCTGTAGTAGTGATACGAAAAAATTTATTTGCTCAGATTCACATTTTATTATTATTTCCATTATTCATTATTTTCAGACCGAATTAAACATCAGAAAATCTTGTTTTTGGTCTGAAGATTTTGGTCTGTATAACTGAAAATAAATATAAACTTTGTCACACTATTGGAACAGCCTGTATGTGCATTGCAACAATATGTCATATTTTATATTATGGCTAAGCAAGCGGAAAGTCCATTGTCACATATGTAATTTTTATTTTCAAATAATCAAATACAATACCTACATATTTATTTTAATACCTATTATTTTTACTTGAATTTAGTACTAAATACAACTATGCCTAGCAAATTGTAATACTTACTCTGTTAATGTTTTTTCTTTCATTGAAAAAATAGTAAAGTCCACACATAAAATATTTCACAGCCACAACACAACAATAAAAGACAACAGCTCAAAGATCCACACAAGAAATAACTACATTCACACCTTCTCTAGTCCGAATCCATATAAGTACAAAAATGTAGAATATAATGCGAAATAAAGCTTTTAGTTGGTTGCAAATGTTATAAATTTGTACAACCACTTGCCATGCTCCTTTTGTGTAAATATGTACATAATAATGTGTAGAGGATAGAAAATAGAAATGTTTTCAGAACAAAAAAATGGCGAAATGGACGTATAGGCCGGAGAACTCATCATCGTGCACGTGCACCTGACATACCGTCATTTTCTCGTTTTTTGTTTAGGTGTATTTTGCCGGAATTTGAATGAATGAAATAACCATACTATTTTTACTATAAACGTATTTCCTGTAGTGACATCTATATGAATATTGTAGTGCTTTGTTAGATGAAACTGAAATAACAATATCACGAAGACTATATAGTTTTTTCCATTCATGATGGAAAAAACTTGGTTTTCGGCACATTTCGGTGTATTAAATATGATTTATTATTTATTTATAATATTTACTAAGCAGTATTTTATTATATAATTATTTCTAATTCATAGTGCAGGTATTTAGAAACAATATTTTTTAGCGCTTCTGTGGGTACGATGTTTGCACTGCCATGGTATTTAACTTGGTTCGGACATTCCTTAAACAAGTATAAGGATGTAGTAAGACTATATGATTATTTTTTGGCAACACCTCCATTAATGCCAATATATGTTGCAACATCACTAGTAGTTCAGAGGCGACAAGAGATATTTTCAGAGGGTTGTGATATGGCAAGCATTCATTGTTTGTTATCCCAAATACCAGATGATTTAGATTTTGAAGAAATTTTGACTAGATCTTCTACATTCTACAAGAAATATCCCCCTGAAAAATTAGAATATTTAGTAAAGAAGAGAGTACAAAAAGAGTATGTAGTTTTTGGATTGTTTTATCTTGTGCAAAAAATTTTATATTTTATAAAACAGTTGTTTACTTTTCGCTTTTATTTTATTTTGCTTTCTTCTTTAGCATTTCGTAGATATAAACAAAAAAATTTGTAAATATGTTCAAGCTTTTCAGTGTAGATTTTAGCTTGTAAATATAAACTCATTGCATTTGTTTTATTTTGTATCCTAATCTCACCTTGTTTGCTTCTGCACATACTGACCTTATTTTTATATAGCACATATTACCACTGTCACAAATATATAGTGGATGGTTGGAATAATAATTTTTTTTTAAGATGTTGAAAACACAATTATTGATTTGGATCATTTTAAAAATTAAATTAATTTTAGTATTTTTAAGTTTACAAAAAAAAAAACAAAGTTGTAGCTACTAACCAGAAGTTTTTTTAAGATGATACAAATTTTGTATACGGGTATTCTTAAAAAGTGTACAACTAACTTGCGATTATTTAAATGGAACATTGTGTATATTATTTAATATTTGAGTGGCACACTTTTTCAGGATTACAATTACATTTGATTTGATAGGTCCAATATGCTTAATGTGTAAAGAGAATTTAATTTCATCGGTTATTTGGCTATCAAGTTTTTGTCTTAACACGCTACACTCTTATGGCATAATTCTAAAAGAATGTTTTTTTTTCAAATATAAAGAGATGTTCTATTTAAAAAAAAAATCATTAGTTTTCCATGAATTTTAATAACACCCTGTAGTAAAACCTCTAGTTGATAGTATATTATGTAATGGTGACATTTATAAGCAATGATTAATATAGTGTGTCCCAGAAGTAACGCAAAAAATTCGTATTTTATTTTGTTTTGCGTTTTCACAAAAACGCTAAAACACGTCAATTAGTAAATAGGAATTGTCATTTTGTCACGTTGCTTAAACCTTTTTTGCTCTATGTTTCATAAACCTATGACGTCATCGACATTTTTTTTAAATAGCACTACCTAATTTTTTAAGCATAAATGGATAGTCCTTTTGAAGGGAAATACGTCGATATAGGGTTTGGCCTACTTTACTTTGACAGGAGCGAAAAAAAAGCCAATGACTGGAATGGACATGGTTTAAAATAACAACAAAAGTAGGTATCATAAACTGATGCGAGAACAGTGCCACAGTAAAAAATGGAAATTTGGGGATGTTTTGTGTTTTGGTTGATTGTAGGTACGTTTTTATGTATTGATATGTTGGCGTTTTCGGCGATACGACGAATGGCAGTGTGTGGATTTTCAGTGACAGCTAAACATAACATTTTGCCTATCATTTTCTATCACTGTCGTTGGCCTTCTAGATCTAGACAGATTTCTAACATGGCCAGCGTCTTCAAATTTGGGTACTAATCTGCATACTGTAGACGGAGGTATTGGTTGTTCTGGATACTTGGCATTGAATAATTGACATACTTCATCATAACTACGGATCCTATCTCCGTATCCAACCATAATTAGGATTTCAGTTCTTTGTTTCTCATTTAAACACAACACCATCGTAATGTAAAGTTATGGTATTTGTAACTGTCACAATGATATGAGGCACTATTGCATTCGCTAACTGTCGTCTTCAGAACAATGCCTACATAGCCACTGTGATCGGGTGTACCTACCCAATCTACATAAAAACATGTGCCAACAATCAACCAAAACAGATTTTTTGCTATAGCACTGTTCGCGCATAAGTTTGTGATACCTATTTTTGTTATTAATTCAAACCATGTTCATTCCAATCGTTGGCTTTTTTTTCGCTCCTGTCAAACTAAAGTAGGCCAAACCCTATATCGACGCATTTCCCTTCAAAAGGGCTATCCATTTATGCTTAAAAAATTAGGTGGTGCTATTTAAAAAAAATGTCGATGACGTCATAGGTTTATGAAACATAGCGCAAAAAAGGTTTAAGCAACGTGACAAAACGACAATTCTAATTTACTAATTGACGTGTTTTAGCGTTTTTGTGAAAACTCAACACAAAATAAAATACGAATTTTTTGCGTTACTTCTAGGACGCACTGTATAATTTAAAAATAATGAATGAATAGTACTTTAGAAAATCCTGGACATTATATTCTCTTTTCTATATGTAGTTGCTGACTTTTAGGCTATTAGTGTAACTTTGCTTGTGTTATTTTCACTTCTTTCTGCTTCTTGACTGTCACTCAATTTCTGTTATGGTGATTGTAAAAAATAATGTTTAATTTTGTCACACTAATCTGGGAGTTACTTGTTGATTTATTTTAAGACTTGATCAACGCAAGAGAGATGAACAGATGATGAGGAATCGCCTAAATAAGAACAGAAGCTTATGGCTGCGAATAAACAACAATGTTCCAGCATGGATATTATTCAATTTCAGAAATAGATACGGATTATTATTTGCAGCTGCAACTGTTTTAATTGGATATATCTATTATATTAAAGCTACTGAAAACAAATTTTCAATTACAAGGTAAGTATACAAGTCACTAAGCACTAAGTCAGGTTAAATTACCCCGTAAAAAAATATTCTTTTGAAATATATTACTTACACGTGGTTCTTTTAAAAGAACAAACTTTGAGGATCAATCGAACCTTTGAAAATAATGGCAGTTTTAAACATGAAGGTGTAAAATAAATATTTATTTTTTTCCTCTAAATCAGTGGAGATATTCAAACAGAGTTTTGTGGTATTACAATGTCAAAACCAAGTTTATCAACAACGACTACTGTTACGTATGGAATAGTTTAGATTATATAGAAATTAGGCAAAAGGAAAAATGAAGTGAAATATAATTTATATAAATTTCTAAAAAAATTTGGTTATATCTAATCGTTAATCTTCTGATAATGTTATATAGGTATTTAAAGGGATGAAAATTTATAAACTTTTGTGAGTATATAAAGCAACGAAAGATACTTTTGCAAAATGAATAACTCATTGATGGATGACATACAGAGAAGACAGATTCTACAGACAAGATTTTCAGTATTTTGTAATTTGGTTCATTTCACGAATGACGCAACTAAAATTGTTGAGTCAAATTTTAAATTATCATTCTGAAGATTCTTATCTTTTATTTTTATCTAATATTTTTCAAAAACATTTATTATTATCATTGAGATACTTATCTGCATATTTTTGGCAACATAAACAATTTTTTTCCTCCTGAAATTATAATCTTGTAGCTAGTAATATTGTACGATTCCATATTAAAATTTCAGTGCATGATACATGGATACAGATACTTTATTTGCAACATAATACAGAATCAGAATAATCAGATTGTTATCATGGAGCACAAAATGTGTTCACTGATGCTAATTATTATGTAGGAACGATCACTTTGTATAAAGATTCGCTACTGCACGTGAATTTATAATATGTATGTCTATGGATACAAGATCAAAATAATTAATAAATAATAGTACAACACAGAGAAACAACATACAGCAGGGCCTTGATAATCCGTACCCCAGCTAGTCCGAAAGCCTCTATAATCTGAACGACCCCCCTAACCCCTGCGCAACCGCCGTTTCTCACAGTTTCTGTCTCGCCAGTGCCACGCAGTGTGTTTTAGATAATACACGTATCGCTGTTTCGTCGGCCCGCGTGCCGTTCTGCCATTTTATTGTGTTGGCGCCTCAAATTTGCATCATGGCCTCAACATTGAAGAAAAGAAAACACGTGATGCTAACAATTGAACAAAAGTGCGAGATTTTGGACAAGATTAAGGAAGGCATCTCGTCATCAATGGAAAAAATGCTGTTACGTAAATTAAGGGATAAAGCATTTTCTATGTCGCTAAATACTACTCGTCAAAGCACTATATTGGAATTCTTTAAAAAAGCGTGATTAATAGCATTGTATCTAACATACATCTAATGTACATACTTAAATAAATACATTATAATGTAAAATATTTTTGTTTTATTTCGAAGAATCCCTTTTAAAATGTCTACATACTATAATCCGAACGCTTCGTGAATCCGAACAGGGTATACATTTTCGGTGTTCGGATTATCGAGGCCCTGCTGTAAATACAGATTAACGATATTCTAATAGTATAGCATTGAATTGTGTATAACTACACAGAAAAAGTATTAAACTGCATTGCTTATTTTGTCCATTTCTTACTTCTGTTCTATTACTTTAAACACTGTTGTGAATGGAGAAGTCATAAATCGTTTTAAAATAAAATAGTTATCAGAAAATATTAGAAAAAATATTTAAAATGATAGATAATGAACATAAAAAATTATGTAGTTTGTTGCTAGTGAGAAATTATATTTAAAACAAAATAATTATTCCATTTTTCCTCAGTTATCCCTAGCGTACATTCAATATCACATAGTATATAAAATGCATGTGCGTACAGCTAATTTTTGCATACAGTATCAATATATTCATATTTAATTGAACCATTAATCTGAATACTATTCTATTCCGATTTCGTGGTATCTAATGGGTTGGGGAATAAGTAATATCCGGTTTTTTCAAATTTAAAAATTCACATGAAAATTAAAGCATTGTCAAATTGACATGTCATTCAAAAGAGGACTTATTACTACTTATCGTATTGTGATTTTTGATGCTTCTTTAGATTTCATTTATGTGAATTTTCATTAATTTGAAATGGAATGTCAGGTTGATAAAATTGATCATGTTCATCACTTGCTTCTTTTTGTTTTTAAATGAGACGGGGAAAACGCTAATGCCGCTCAAGCAACTCGGGAAATTTGTACCGTATATTATGATGATGCCATGAATGAACGTACAGTCTGTTGATGGTTTTCGCATTTTAAAGAAGATGATTTCAACCTTAAAGAATGAATCGTTCTGGACTCCCTGTTGAATTTGATGAAGAGCAATTGAATCGACTCCTTCATGACAATCCAAGATAATAATAAGGGAATTGACTCAGGAGATGAGATCTGATTAAAAAACAGTAGTAAACCATCTGCATTCGATGGCAGTTCGGTCACACATGTTTTGAATGAAAACAATATGAATCGGCGCTCCACAATTGCTGCTGGTTTGCTCTGTCATCGATCAACACATGGTTATAAGGAATATTTTCTTCATCGTATTGTCACTAATGATGAAAAAATGGTGTCTGTACGTTGACTTGAAACAGCGAAAAGAATGGTTAAGCCCCAAAAAACAAGCAACTCCGCGAAAAGACCCGAACTTCTTTCTCGAAAGACAATGTTATGCGTCTGGTGGGATTGGAAAGGGATTCTTTATTATGAACACTTACCAAACAATCAAACCGTCAATGCAGAACTCTATGTTCTTTTGTAATGTGACGATGCATGATCACATATCGCGAATATGACTAAAGCTGCCTTTCGGGAGTTGAGTTGGGAAGTTCTGCCCCATCCGCCTTAAACTCCCGAACCTGTGCCTTTAGATTTTCACCTCTTCCACTCTGTCAAACTCCTTATGCGGTATTTCTTTTAAGAATGACAATAAGTTAAGAGCTTGATTGGATGAGTTTTTCGAGTCAAAAGCGGACGATTTCTACAGAAGAGGCATCGAGAATCTTGTTGAACATTGGGAGAAGGTCATAAATAAGGATGGATGATTAGCCTATTAATAATTGTGCAGTTATAAATAAAGTGCTTTAAATTTGAAAAAAAAACGAACATCACTTATTCCACAACCAATATAATCAGAATAATTCAAATCCAAAAAAAGAATGAGTTTATTTAGTTTTGATGAATGCTAATGAACCAATTTTATATAAAATTAAATTTTAACTTTCTGATCCAAATTATACATATGTGAAGGATAAAAAAAATGTAAATCATATTTACTGGACAGCGTTCTCTACCAATAAACAAAATGAATACTTTTTTTGAAATTCCCACCATAAATACGTAGTGTTTCTTCTAATAGTCCCCGTAATACATGGATTAGTGATTAGTATAGATCAATAGATTAGATCCAAGCAGAATTTTGCACATTCTCAGTAGCTGTTTGTGGATTATGTTGATGATTTCACATTACGAATATGCTTTTTGTATATGCTCGTATCGTGTCATACTTATGCATTCTCTATTAAATAGTAGTATGTATTTTAATAGAGATCAGTGATGTTTTGAAATTTTAATCTTGATTGGTGCAATAGTTCTAGAAATATTGATATTCATTTTTTTTTTAATTTGACACCTTGTTGATTGAGCAGGAGCAAAATTTGGTTAAGGCATGTTTGATTAAATCGAAGCATTAGTACGAAAACATGCTATCTCAGATTTCAGTTGGAAAACATGCTATCTCAAAATTTGGTTGGAAAACATGCTATCTAATATTATACTTGGAAAACATACTACCTCAGATCTTTAAGTAAAAATATGCTACTTCAGTTTGATTAGAAATTTAAGTTGGCACATTGAATGATTGAAACCGTCATTCAACATTTTTCAATATTAATATTTTGTTAAGTTACTGTTATAAACAACAAAATTGTTAATTAAAAAAATATAATAATATGCAGTATGCTGCAACACGTACATTACTCGACGTTTTTTGAAATAACAAATTATAAAAAATAGTGTATACCTTAATATATAAAAATGTTTATTATTACTAAAAATTAATTATTTTTTTCATATAAGTTTGCTTTGATATAAAAATTAATAGCGCACTCTTATCTGATTTATAGTCACTACTCTTGATACACTTAGGTCCGTATGCATAGTCGATCACCAGCGACTCGCCAGAGATTTGTCGTTCGCCGGACGAGATTTTCAATGCACAGTCGTTCGCCAGCCAAGTCAAGCATGCGCATTTGTGAAACTTTTGGCGAACCGCCGGAGAATCGCCGGAGATTGCCTGTAGCATCTCCAGCGTTTCTCCAGAAAGCAAGTAACCTATTTTTATTGTGTTTTTGAGATTGTTCCAATAATGGATCGTGATTTTAACATGCTGTATAACGCAAACAGAGATATTTCTGATTTAGATATACTCACACCTATACAGGGTGATTCCAAACGGTGATCAAAAATGAAAACTAGTATTCTTTGGTGAATTTTAAGGGAAGTCTATCGTATAAAGTTTTTATTTAGGACGCTTCGTTTAAAAGATACAGGGTGTTAAACTTAATAAAAATATTTTAAATTTTTTTAAATAATTTAAAAAGTTGTAACTGAAATAATTTGAAATTGAGCACATGTATTTATGTAAACATTGTCCAAAATCGGAGGCTTTTTCCGAAAATTTAGATGCTCTAGTGCCGGAGATACAGGGTATCGGTGGCATATTTTTCTAAATTAAATAGTACGCCACTGCTTTATGATCATCAATCATGATATTCATCGAATTCATCTTTCAATTTTCTACTAATTACTACTCTTAT